CCATATATACATATATATATACTCTCGATAAAATTTAGGGGTTTTTTTTATCAATGAGTATATAAACTCCTTTAATATTGATAAGTATATCGGCTTCTTTGTTATAATAAGTATTTATGCCTCGTCATTATTATGTCTTTAGTCGTCTTTATTTTTACTGAGTATATAGGGTTTATTTTTATTAATTAGTTTACAGATTTTTTTATTTTCATCAAATACATGGTCTTCTTTTAAGATTGATAAATATATAAGCTGCCTGATAGATTTTAAATATATTGACGTTTTTATTGTGAACAAGTATAAGAAGTATATAGGACAAATATATAAGTATCCTGATCATTGATAATTATAATCTTCTTCATTATTATTAGGCATACAGGCGTCTTTATCAATAGTTATTATATAGGCATCTTTATTTTTGATATGAATATAGGCTTTTCTTATTATATATACGTATATAGAATATTAATTAGTATCAAGTATATACGCTTCGTTATTATTCACAAGTATATAATTTTCTTTCTTATTAATATGTATATAGGATTCTTTATTAGATACAAGTATATACCGCTTCGTTATTGTTTACCAAGTATATCAGTTTTCTTTTATATTACTAAGTATATACGCTTCGTTATTTTTTACAAGTATATATGTTTGTTTATTTTTTACAAGTACATAAGTTTTCTTTCTTATCAATAAGCATATACGCTTCGTCATTATTTACGAGTATATATGCTTCTTTATTATTTACAAATATATAAGTTTTCTTTCTTATTAATAAGTTTTTATGCTTCTTTATTATTTACAAGTATGTAAGCTTTCTTTCTTATATATAAGTACATACGCTTCGTTATTTTTTACAAATAAATATGCCTTTTTATTAAAAATACGTATGTACGCTTCATTTTGATATATATATACGTTTCTATATTTTTAATAAGTATAGATGTAAGTACATACGCTATTATGAGCAAGTATGTACGATCTGTTATAATTTATGTATACATAGGTTTTTGTTGTTGTTGGTATGTATATACGCTGCGTTATAATTCAAGTGTACATAAGTTTCTTGGTTGTTGGTAAGTATATACGCTTCTTCATTTTGTTTAAGATATAGGTTTCTATTCTTAATAAATATCTACGCCTTTTTATTATTTTGAGGTGAATTAAAGTATATAATTTTATATTATTATTAAGTATATAGGCCTCTTTATTATTTATTAGCATATAAGTTTTCTTTATTATTTTGAAGTATATACGCCCCTTTATTATTGATAAGCACGTGAGCTTCTTTTTTATTAATGTGTATATGATATAAATCTTCTAATCCACAGGCGACATTCCAGACCTGACGGTGCCTCTGGAGCACACCCCGCTGAGTGGCCAACTGGACACTGTTTTGCAGTGTGTGATGGCTGACATTTCAGAGTGTTCTGTGCACCAGTCAGCGTGCTGGTATTTCATCCTGGAAAACCAGGCAAGTTTCAAAATTCAAGTTTAGGACCAGGCAAGTTTTGAAATTCAAATTTAGGGCCAGGTAAGTTATAAAATTACAAATTTAGGACCATGCAAGTCTCGGAGAGAATCGCACTGGTCAGTGGGGCAGCTCTTGTAGCCGTCCATGTAGTCAGTATTAGGTGCATCGGAGTATAAGCACACTCACTTCGGATGGCCGTAGCTCGTTCGTGTTCAACAATATTCAGAAAACATGAATATCAATGCTCGGAAACCATGGGCTTTTATGTCCCAACTCCAGCACTACGCTTGTGCTGCATTCGTTTGCCCTACGTCTCTCGTTGTACTGTGGTGTACGTCGTAGTGCGAGGATTCGTATGTACAATATCAAAAAAATACATATTTTTGTGATCACTTGGAGGCAGATTCAGATAGTGATTCACATGAATTAATTACACAGCAGTATATCTTAACGTGTTGATTTAGAGTGCCCGGCAATCGTCGATTTGACGAAAAAGTACGTCCAGTACTATATTGCAAGTAGTACGATACCACACAGGCGTAAGCGGAGCGGGGGTTTAGTGTTCATAAACCCTAAAGGCCGAAACTCAAAATAACGCTGTTAATGTAACTCAAAAGGCTAATTTGGCTACGTTAGGCTGTGCTGGATCTCTGATTAGAACTTGCACAAGCAGAATAAGCTGGACCTCAATATATCTCAATCTAACAATATAATGCAATATAACACAATATAACAACATAACGCAATATAATTCAATATAACTCAATACAAGTAAATACGACTCAATGTAGCTCAATATATCTCAATATAACTCAGTATAACTCACTACAGCTCAATGTAACTCAATATATTTCAATACATCTCAATAAATCTCAATACATCTCAATATAACAACATAACGCAATATGACTCAATACAACTGAATACGACTCAATGTAACTCAATACATCTCAATATAACTCAGTATAACTCAATGCGACTGAATGTAACTCAATAAATCTCAATATAACTCATTATAACAACATAATGTAATATAACTCAATATATCTCAATACAACTAAATGCGACTAAATGTAACTCAATATATCTCAATATAGCTCAGTATAACTCACTACGGCTCAATGTAACTCAATACATCTCAATATAACTCAGTATAACTCAATACGACTCAATGTAACTCAATACATCTCAATATAACTCAATAAATCTCAATGTAACTCGATATAACCCAAAGTAAACCAAAAGTAGCCATGTGGGTACTGCAGGCCGGGCAGATGCTCTGGCTACAACTGGCACGCTCTCTCATAGAAGACTAGAGTACACAATCTGCTACGGTGTAGTTCAACTTATGGCCGTAGCTCCTGCGCACGCTAGTGTTGTTGGCTGTAACTAATGCTCTAACAAGCATCGTCACGTGTCACTTCGTACTACATTCACGTTCTAACGTACACTCGCATCACCTCATGGTTACTCCCATAGCTCCTGCGCATGCTAGTGTTGTTGGCTGTAACTAATGCTCCACCAAGCATCGTCACGTGCCACTTCGGACTACATTCACGTTCTAACGTACACCCGCATCACCTTATGGTTACTCCCATAGCTCCTGCGCATGCTAGTGTTGTTGGCTATAACTAATGCTTCACCAAGCATCGTCACGTGTCACTTCGGACTACATTCACGTTCTAACGTACACTCGCATCACCTTATGGTTACTCCCATAGCTTCTGCGCATGCTAGTGTTGTTGGCTGTAACTAATGCTCCACCAAGCATCGTCACGTGTCACTTCGTACTACATTCACGTTCTGACGTGCACTCGCATCACCTTATGGTTACTCCCATAGCTCCTGCGCACGCTGACGTCATTGGCTGTGGCAAATTCGCCGACGGGTATAGCCACGTACCTGTGTGACACTGTCTCGGGGCTTATTGAGCTGTACCCTGATGTCTGCGATGCGGAGGATGTCAAGTTTGCCATCCGCAGTATGCTTCAGAATGTTGGAAAGGTCGGTGTATGTGTCTCTAAAATAAGTTCACATGACAATATAGGTTTGTATGTATAGAGACATTGTGTTCGTGTGTGTGTGTGTGTGTGTGTAGCAGGTGTCGAGAGACGTACAAAGGTGCATGTATATATTTCTGTGTATGTGAGCATGTATATTCTATTATATATATAAATATATACAT